GCTCAAGTGAGACTTTAAAAAAAAGTTTAAATTTACTTTCCTGTTCTGCATGCAGTTCAGAAGTGAACAACAAACATGTAACAATGACCTCTGGGTCTGCAGGTGACAAGCCATACCGCTGTAACGTGTGTGCAGCTCAGTTCAACCGACCAGCCAACCTGAAGACTCACTCCCGGATTCACTCCGGAGAGAAGCCTTACCGCTGTGACACCTGCGGGGCACGGTTTGTTCAGGTGAGGGTCAAATGACTGCGTGAAAAGACTTCTCAGAAATAACACAGATGTTAGCCACACTAGATACTGGTGTGTTTTCTTTATCTCCAGCAGTATCAGACTGGTTCATGTAGACTAGTTGAGTTCCAGTTTCTCGTTAACTCTTCTAGTTGCTCGCAAAATTTGAAAATGTGGAGCGAGTGTAGATGGCTACAGCTCTTCCTCGAGGCCTGCCTTATTTGATGTTTGCATGCTTTATTTTGCACCTCTCAACCTGTTTGTGTGGTCTGCCCCGGTGTTAGGTTGCCCACCTCAGGGCCCACGTGTTGATTCACACTGGGGAGAAGCCTTACCCCTGCAACACCTGCGGCACCCGCTTCCGCCACCTGCAGACGCTGAAGAGTCACCTGCGGATCCACACCGGAGAGAAGCCTTACAGCGTAAGCTACCTGCGGCACACGTAATCGCAGCATCAAGAGCATTGTCCTGTCATGTTCATGACGTCTAATGAATGAACGCCCTGTGTTTTTCCAGTGCGAGAAGTGTGACCTGCACTTCCGACACAAGAGCCAGCTGCGCCTGCACCTGCGCCAGAAGCACGGGGCCGTCACAAACACCAAGATCCGCTACAAAGTGCTGACTGAGCCCTACCAGCCTATCCTGCAGGCCTGCTGAGGAGGATCACTAATCGCACCTCAATGATCTGAATCTGTCAGAATGTGAAATTTGGCTCATTAACTCACTTGTCAGTTGCAAAATTGTTAGCATCTCGTCTTGAATAGAGGCAACAACAAACAATAAATGAATGAAAAAATACAAATAGGTTACACATGGAGTAAGAGACAGTCATTTCTACAAAGCTGTTGGTTGAGGTTTGGTGAGGTTGTGCTTTAATAATACACGATTGAGACGATTAAAGAATGTTTTGCTTGAGGGTTTGCGAAGAAGTGTAAAGAAGGGGACAGGGTATGGAGCGAAAGGTAAAGTCGTACATTTGTGTGCATATTGAATTGTAAAGAAATGTGTGCGTGTGAGCAGATTGAAGGAAAGATAAAGCAAGTTTTGTGAAGGAGATGTGATCAGATTTGGTGTAAATTAGAACAGACGTGGGGTTTTTCAGTTTCAAGTTACCGAAGCTTCTTTGTCTGATGTGTATTTAACTTTGATTTATCTTAACCCGATGGCCCGGCGCCTGTGTAACTTTAAAGAAAAAAGTAAAACTATGTGCTTTTCCAGTCCAAGCAGGCAAAGGACTTTTGTATCATACTGAACAAAAAGTGAAGAAATCAAATGATGTTTGCTAAACTTTTAAACAAGACAACTGAACTCAAAATAAAAATGTAATATTACTCAATTTGTATTTGTGAGAGGTAATTTGCTGGACAAAGATGGTTTTGTACAATTTAAATTAAATAACTTTTACATTAATTGGAAACGTGATCTTTGGTGTGTCATAGTGTATATATTGTATTTTAAAGAACTCAAGGTCAAGTGACTTTATTGTCATCCCAACCATGTGCAGTGGTGCAGTACACAGTGAAATGAGACGATGTTCCTCCAAGACCGTGGTGCTACATATGACTCATCCCCTGAATGACTAAAACTACTTTTGTCATAATGGCTCGCCCAGGGGGCAGCGCCACATGTTTGATGTGGTAGAGTGCCCTTCCTGACACAATCCCCGAGGGATCTATATCTCATCCCGGGATCAAACTGGAGATCTTGTTGCTTGTTAGGCGCCTTCAGCCTTTCACCTCCTTTGATTTTCTTCCTCCCATTAGGAAACTCTTTTTACCCATGAATCACATCTTCTGCTCAGTAAAATTATCCCTCCGTTTTTTTTTTAGTATTTGTTTTGTTTTTTCTTGGTTGCTGGTGAGGAAACAATGAAGCTGAGGGCACCTGTTTCCTCCTGGGTCTTAATAGTCCACTCTACCAGCCAATAACACGTGTGCGAGCCCGCTGGTGCTTCCTGGAGGGGCTGCAGACTCCTGTTGAACTCTCCCACCCTCTGTCATCCCTGCTTCCTGCTCCCTGATGAGTTGTGGCTAGCTGGCCTTATTGTCCACGCTCGGCGGACAAACATTGGAAGCTTGAAGGGACTTTCCAACCTTCAACCCCCTCCTCCCCTACGACATGCAGCTTTTTCCCTTCATTCATACCTTTGCAGGGTTCTCCTTCTCATATGACTTCATCTGAAGGCTGTCAGATAAGAGGATGGAACAAATCTGAGGAAGTGAATATGAAATGGGAAATATGTGAAGATTATTTCATGAAGTGAGCATTAGTGAGCACAGTTTGAACATTTCAGGAAGCTACCGCAGTTATGAGTATGATGCTGCCCTAATTTAGTGAAGCATTTCCTTCCCCGAGGAACATAAAGCGCAAACCAACTACGATCGACACCCAAGGTTTCTACTGCGTTTGGAAAGAAATTTACTCCTGCAAGCAGCAGATAGAAATAGATAGAATCAGAACACGTCATTAATCCCTGAGGAAATTATGTGATCACAATTGTTCCAAGACAGAAAAGTAACTAACTAAACTGAATTAAATAATACAAAATAGTATAAAGTTTCAAAATCTAACCATATAGCTCTACTAGATACAAAAAGCTTTCATTGTAAATACATTTAAATATATAAAAAGTATACATTTATTCAACAAAATAAAAACTACAGCTATGACTAATTCCCAGAAATCTTGAGAAATTATAGACGTATGAGGTTGCAGGGAAAACTGATCTATCAGTGAGAGTCAGAGAGTGTTTATCATATGTTACACAACTTGTCCTGCTATTGTGAAATACAATCCTGCAAAAGGCCTGTTGAGCAAGTTTGTGACGAACCGCATAATTATTGGGAAATACATAAGCTAACAGAGACAATAAACGATGTAGAGCTCAGAAAGTGGGCACTGGAGCAAAGACCACGGGAGATTAGTAGAAACTGCAACGTTTGGGTGCTATTTCTCATTTCTGTTGTAACTCCTTAGAGATTAAGTAAAACTAAAGTCTCCTGTTTGGGTTTCTATAATGCACAGTTTTTCTGACTTACACAAAACTGACAATAATTGAAGTAGCTTAAATTCTTTATTATTATCTTATTAATCTGTGATGCTTTAAATATCTTATACACATAGTTCAACCCCAGATATCAAATCACATGGCAGCAACTTAGTGCATTGACGCATGTAGACTTGATCAGAACGACCTGCTGAAGCTGAAACTGTGCATCAGAATGAGGAAGAAAGATGATTTAAGCTGCTTTGAATGGGGCGTGGTTTTGGTGCCAGGCAAGTTGGTATTTCAGGAACTGCGGAGCTGCTGGGATTTTCCCACAGAGAACGGTCTGAAAAAGAGAAAACAGGTTAGCAGCAGGGTTGTGGTGAAGAATGTGTGAAGATATGCAGAGTAGCTCTGAATGCACAACATTGCTGTCATATCAGCATGAACCAAAATCTCTGAAGAATGTTTCCAGCACATCCACCAACACTTTAAAATAAATTTGGGAAAGAACAAAAGTCCCCTTAAAGACATAATACGTATTTCTGTTCTGACAACTTCATAATAGTTTCTATTCTGGTTACATTAGGCTTTGAGCAATGTTTTTGAAGTGTCGCAGGAGGAAAAGCAGAGTTATAATGTTAATGATGACAACTCAGCTGTTCCAGGAAAAGGCAACAGATATAAATATATTTTGTGACACAGAATTTAAAGCCAGCCATTAATCATCATAGACTGATGCATTTACACAAGAAAAGACTGATCAGGAATAATATTGGGACCAACAACTGGATGTTTACTGGTAGAGCTGGTCAGTGACTTGAAGCCTTTTCTGAGCTCTTGATTTTTAAACTTGGCTTTACCTCCCTCTACTGTCTGCACACCTAAACACTCACAGGGCAGATACTACACTATCAAACTGGAAATATTGAATACACAAGGCACATTGGATTTTTTTTCTTTCATATTCTGCACCCTGGTCACAGGATCGTTACCTGAGGATTGCTCTACAAAGGCGCAGTCTCTACTTTTCTGTCAGTTTTATGAATTTTCAAAAACCCCTAATTCATTTAATCGAACCAAAAAAATATCAAAATTATCACTCATTGTGTCAGCTGGCAGCCGCCATCAGAGATATTTTAAAGCAAATAATATATAAATGCCCGTGATCACATTTTTAAAAAGAAACCAATAAAACTAAATATGGGCGGTCACTCAAACAAGGTCAGAATATTTTTGGGAATCAAATAAGATTCAAATATGATCCACAGCGGGATGATTTACAATGTGTTCATGTGTCCTCGTATGACTCTGGTTACATTCAGTGTGCTGCAACCTTAAAATTAAGATAATCTATTAATTCAGATAGTTATTGAAAAACAATCATATTCTCCAACATCTGTGGGAAATTTCCAAGACATTAGACTGTAAGTGAGGACATCCAATAATAACAGAAGTCATTTTAAATGAAAAATAGGTAATAAAAAACAAATTATTATTATTATATTCATAATGAGGAGTCAGTTCAAAAACAATAGACAACAATATAATTATAGTCTTACAATTATTGGGGAAAATGATTATATTTTATATGTTTGTGAGTGAAAAAAGGGCGAGACAGAATGATGCTTTCAGTTTCTTTTTGTTGGACAGCCATCAGTGAGGCTCTGTTATGATACTTCTGCTGATTTGGTTAGGACTGCACTATTTTAATATTTAAATCCATCCATGCTCTCCATAAAGCCTTCTCTTTGTTTGTTATTACTTCCCGATTTACTTGAACACTTCGACGACAGACATCGGCCAAGGATAGAACCACTAACCAGATGTAAGTTTAAAATTTGTAATTCATTACATTGAATGGAGTGTGCTTATTATTTGGTGACCAGTGGATTTCCCAGTATAGCTTGGTTTTAGTCAAAGTCCGAGTCGCCGTTTGCCTTTGTTATGTATTTTTTATGATTGCAGCCTTAATAAACAGCTTGCTTTTGTTAAGTTTAGTCTCCCAACGTCTGCATTTGGGTCCTGTCTTCAAATTGTGATCTGCGTCCCACAGAACAATTGTGGGATCCAACCCAACCTTTCTGTACAGCACTGCAAAATGATCACACAGTATCTCATCAATGACCTAAACAGAGCTGTCGCTTCAAATGATAATCAGACAAATTTAAAGTAGAGCATCCAGACCAGACTAGGAACGGCTTTTTGGTGACTTGTGAGGTATTTAGTAATAAATGGGTCATTTTATACATACTGTCTGGTTTTTCTTGGTTCCTGGGTAGCACTTAATACACTTCCAGGTTAAACTTTATACAGTATAGGCTCAACTGATGAGGGTTTCATTCATGATTAGATGTTGCTATTTCTTAAAAACCTTGTATTTGTTGGATAAATGTGACAAGTTAATGGCAAAAGCCACAACAGACGGATAAAAGCTTCATGAATTAACAATGTGAGACCAGCGTCACTGTACACAATTAGAGATACGAAGAATAAACACTATGATATTAAAGAGAAGCTAAAAATAATAAACTCTATGCATCATAAAATATTATATAGTACCAAATGTGTTTCAGATCATTTACCAGCTGTTGGGTTTAATTTTCTTAACCTGAGTTTAAGGTACGATTTTCTCAATTAGAGATGTGGTTTATCAGATTAATTCAACAGATCATTTTATTTGAATGTTAAAAGAACTAAAACGTGTTTTCATACAGTTCCTCGAGAAACACATCCAAACACAGTATCAAACAAAACAGTGGCTTCCAGCATTTTAAGTGCAAGTTCTATATGAATGTAAATACATTTCTCTACACACACACTAAAACGACACGTTTTACATTCAAAGTGTTGTCATCTTTTTACTGTGTATTAAAGAAAAGATGTTTTCATTATGTGGCAGATTAAAGATGCGGTGGAGTCTGTTTCTGCTTCTGATGGGTAAGTGGAAATTCTCCGCACTGCTTCCTCAGTTTTATTCTGCTAACATGTTTGTATTTTTCCGGTTTACATTCTGCTCTGATGTTTGCTGTTGTTATTATTTGTTGCTGTAATTCTGTTTCTGTATTATCTTTGCTTTTTCATTTGATCTCCATCAATTCAATTGTTTCTTTTTGTTATGAATAATCCTTTTTATTTCAATCTCAGGTCTTTGTTTACTGTGAACATTATCTTTATTGTATCCAAACACTAAAGTCTTATAGTCGCACACATTTGTCTTTCATTGACAAGGTCACTGAGCTCAGAGTCACACTTGTGTTGTAGACTGTTTATCTGTGAACCAGTGAGTTTGATTTGATAATGCAGCATTATTGCTAATATTTTACTGCTTTTAGGTCAGTGTTTCGTCTCCACCTGTTACCTGTATGAGTACCACTTTATTAGAGAAGACAAAACCTGGGAAGAAGCACAGAAATACTGCAGAGAGAATTATGCAGACCTGGCCAGCGTGTTTGACATGGCAGACATGG